AAAATCATCTTTGTGCACATTCCTCTGATTTGGACAGAAACACAAAAACAAAACCCAAAACTGTAGCAGAAATAAAGATGGGACTTACCCGTCGTTCCAGAGGGTGCCAGCTGGGTTTAACCCACTACTTAAGGGAAGGAAGAGGCAACCCCTTCCCTCACAGACTAATCTAGTGGCTCTGTTCTTAGTATTATAGCGCCACTGACTTTTATCAGCTGCCAAACAGTGACATCTGATGTGCTTGCCTGTCCATCTACCTATGCTGGCATGTCAAAGTAAGAGTCCACAATCTAAACAATATCTCAGATGTCTCAGTGATATTTAAGGAGTGGGATTACATGAGCTTCTCTTGCAGGCCTCTTTATTTTAGATGTGAATTTTGACTGTGAGCTTTAGCAAGCTCATGCAGGAGGAAGAGCAAAGAGTTGGGAAGTGGAAAAAAGTCTAAAGAAACTCAAGTTTCTTTATTGTGATGAGGGCTTGGAATCTTTCCTATTTAAGAAAGGACTAAAGGGGAGACTGTATTCCAAGACTGATGTTCTATCTAGTAAAAAATTTTCCAGACACAAGACAGGGATTGATGGGTTCCAAACTGATTTGTATTGGGTAGTTGTTCTTCTGAAGGCTCCCCCCTCCCCCCTTGCCAAATAGAAGTATGGGTGGAGCAAAGTCCAAGCAGTTTGTTTCAAGAGACAGGGTGTGGTCTTGGCAAATCAAGAGAGCATGGTGATGGTGATGTGTCACTGGGAAGGTGGTGAAGTGGAAAAACATGATTTGGTTTCTTAGCAAGTTTTCTGAATCTGTATGGCATATGCCTCTATGACCTTGTTCTTTTGTTCTTCAAGAGTTTTGAAACACTTAAGAAATTACCAGACCCCCCCCCCCAAAAAAAAAGAAAGAAATTACCAGACAAATAAGCATTCTGTAAATTTAGGGCTTTATATTGTCAACTCTTTCCATCATCTCCCTTAACTCTTAGCAGTTAAACAATTTCCTTTCTCTTTTCACTGAGGAGACTGTCTTGGTATTTTGGTTTCCATTTTTGTTAGGGAACTAAATAATTACAGAGGAAGAAACTTTCAGATCAACAACAGAAGTAGTAAAGAGGGGTAGGTGGCATGAGTATCAGATCAGTTGAGTGGAATTATCACCATTTAGTGTTTTCAGTTTTGGTATGTTTTTTCTGTTTAAAGCATATCTATTTATTAATCTCCTTCATGGGTGCTCCAGTATTGATTTAATTACCATGTACATTAAGGTCCAATTGATGTTTGAGCGCTTATGAGCCATATAAAATTTTTCACAGCTGACCATGTAGGTGTATCTTCCTTTGGTGTTCAGAGAAAGTTTGATAATTGCTTCCTGGGCACACAGCCATTACTTAGTGGAAAAGGCACACTAGACTGGACGAGTAGGTGTTTGCCTACCAAGTCTTATTTCAGGAATTTCCCAAAATATTTCTCTACATCTGCTTACTGATATTTCAGATTCCATTAATAGGGACAAAGTGTTTTAATCCAAATTAGGGAGACTTAAAATGTAAGTGCAAGTGACAATCAAAGTAGCAAGAATAACCAACAAGTAATAGCATTTACTATGTGTAGGGCTTTGATGTAAGCACTTTAAGTATGGTATATATGACTGATACTTGGTTCAGAATGGTATGGAAGAGGGGATACTAGATTTGAGGTATCTTAGTACCTAAAAGTTTAAGTTGTTATCCTACCAGGTGAGCAGGGAAGATGCCCAGGACAAACTATGAAGTCCCTAACTTTGCCTAGGGCAGATTCTAAACATACCATAGTTGAGGAATTTTAGTTCCATTTACTGTTTATCCTTTAAGCTTTATCTCTTTTCTTCCCCTATGCCTGTGTAAGATGTAATGTTGGTTTCAGTGTAGTAGCTCTGTGGTATGTCTAAAGTTCTTGCCACAGTAAGGGAGTCAAGGACTGATTTTACAAAGGTAAAGAAAGTCTTTGAAGGCCCCATGCTCAATATAATGGTCTATATTTAATAATCTGTTATGGATCTACTTTTCTACTTTATAATGGTTGGTTTACTTTTTTGAATCGTGTTTTGTTTCCTCACAAATAATGGCTATTTGAAGGTTTAGTTGCTTATAAGAAAAATTGTCCCAAAACTGAAAGAATCCATAAGATGTCACGTGAGTAAACTATATTCCAACCTATCCTCAAAGACAACCTTTTCCATTTATTTCTCTGAATTATCAGTAAGGGCCTCTGGTGAATCATTCTCGTGCCTAACAATATGTAGGTAACTTCCTACTGTCTCACTGAACCATCTCTTGGTGCATGTTAGGGGAATTCTTTATTGTCCTGTCGTCAGTGGAAGGATGGCTTGGCTATTTAGCTGTCACTCATTCATCCCTTTTTTGTTTATAGCTCTTGTTTTTTTATTTTTTTATTTATTTTTATTTTTATTTTTTTAATTTTTATTTATTTATGATAGTCACACAGAATGAGAGAGAGAGGCAGAGACATAGGCAGAGGGAGAAGCAGGCTCCATGCACCGGGAGCCTGACGTGGAATTCGATCCTGGGTCTCCAGGATCGTGCCCTGGGCCAAAGGCAGGCGCTAAACCACTGTGCCACCCAGGGATCCCAGCTCTTGTTTTTTTAAAATATAAACTATATATATACACACACACACACACACACACACACACACACACACACACTATTGTAAAATGGTGCTTGGAGGTTTGTTTAAAGTCAGATGCAAATGTATGTGATGAGGCTACTACTTTCTGTTGTATCAATCGAGAAGGCAAATGCTACATTGCAGATGAAAGAAGTAATGAGTGAAGACCACTTCATTTATCTTCAGGTTATGCATAATTCACTATCATTCCTGGAGTTCTGTCCTACTGTAGCATTTGTAATTTGAAATCTCCTTTTGAGCACTTGATTTGATCTTGTATTCTTTTCAAGAGAGAAATAAAGGACATTACACTAGGTTTGAACCCCAGCAGTAAAAATGGTTACATTACTTTCGTTAATGTTCTGTAATGTTGTAGACCCATTAATCTTATTATCTGTATTGGAGGCCTGAGTGTAAGTGCCCACTATGCCGTATACCGTATACTTGCTATGTAACTTTAGACAAGTTGCTTAAACTCTCTGAGCTTTAATAATTAACTGAAAAACAAAGATAGTATCTGTTTTACTAACCTAATCAGAGGCTTGCTGAGAGACTCAAATGAAACAGGAAATCATATAATGGGCTCTTACATGGTTTAATGTATCTCTTCAACCAAGTTAAATGTTTTCTGAGGGAGGCACTGTTTATTTTTTATCTTAGCCTGGGACATTGTGGGTCATAGTTGACATTCAGTAAAAACTGGCTAACTTTTTTGGAACTTGCATTAATTTTTTTCCACAGATGATTTTTTTTAATGAAAAAGATGGTCATCTCCTATGAAAGATCACATAAATTCAATGTCTTTTTAGGTCTTAAAGGCTCACTACTAAACATAGGTAGTCATGGAGAAAAGTTTTAGATATCTGTGTTGGCTGTCTTCTCAAGGGAAGTCTCACACTGAAACTGACATAAACGCATAGAATGTGCTTAATAAATATTTGTTGAATAAATTGCAGTCTTTTGTCTCACACACTCATTCTTCTTTGACCGCATGAGAAATCTGTATTTAGAAGGGTAGCTATATCCAGGCAACTAGAGATCCCAGAAGGTAAAGGGGTTCCAGGAGACCAACTGAGAAATAAATGACAGTCATAGACTGTTATTGGAGATTCATTGATGCTAAGAAAAAAAATGCAGTGAAGTAATGGCGACTATTATGAATCCCTACTCTGTACTTCACATATGTTGGATATCTGTTAATACAAACTCTCCAAGTACAAACTCTCCTTCACTGTCTTCATTGTAAGAAAAATGTGGAAGAAGTACCTATCCCCAGGTCATAGAAGAATGGTGAAACAGCCCTCAAGAGTATCAGCCAGTCGGGATGCCTGGGTGGCTCAGTGGTTGGGCTTCTGCCTTGCGCAGGCCGTGATCCCGGGATTGAGTCCTGCATTGGGCTCCCTTCAAAGAGCCTGCTTCTCCCTCTGCCTGTGTGTCTGCCTCTCTCTGTGTGTCTCTTATGAATAAATAAATAAAATCTTAAAAAAAAAGTCAGCCAGTCATCTACAATTTTAGTCATTTGCAGAATAAGGAACTTCCATGTAGGTGACCTCCATTCCTTTCCTCTCTAATGTGATAAATTTATTCACTTGATAGACCCAGATACTACTCAAGAAATCTTTTCTTCAAAGAGAATTCATTATCTACATTTAATTATACTAGAAAACAGTCAGGAATGTTTATTTATTAGGTTTTATTAAAGGTATTTAACCTAAATTCAACCTAAAGGTAACTTTAGATTTGTAAAATATTCGGTGTACTATGTTAGACATTGGTAAAACAAAAATTTTGAATGACTCTTTTAAGTATCAGGTCCTCCACCACCCCAGTCCCTCTTTTGGTTTGAGGTTTGTGTTTGGGGCTTGGAGATGATGGTGGATTGTTCTGAATGTAGCCTGGTTGGCAAATTCACCTACTGAATTATCTTTCCATTTATATACTTGCCTTCTAAATGCAAAGACAATTCTGTCCGTTTTCTAAGACAACAAGAAGAAACCTGTATCACAAGATGTTTTATGTGTTTATATTGAGATAGAACCCTGAATTATTTTTGGGGAAAAGATTCTACTTATTCAAAGTCTTGTGCTATTTTAGCACTGCTGTTTTTTTTTCCCCCCAGTAAGTCTCTGTAACAAACCTTTTAAATGTGAATCTAAGCACATGATTTACTATTTCAGCCCTGGTGAAAGATTTGATGGAGGGCAAGGGAGAAATGACAGAATTAAGTGATTCAGCTCAGAAGGCAAGCGCCCTAAGAGCAGGAACTTTGTCCTGTCCACTGTTGTATCTGCAGGACCAAGAACATTTGTTGAATGAGCAGAGTGTGAGGTCTGTCTGCCCTTACCATTGTGGTTGTAGCTCAGGGAAATTTTCATTGCAGAGATCCTCCTTTGAAACCTGGATCTCATGTTCATTGAAACTGGCTGGTTCAGTAATAGTTGAAGTAATGTTCATTGGGATATCATCTGGACTTTTGTCCTTTGTGTGGATATCATTGCTCCAGGGAAAGGAGGCCAGTTTTGGAGAAAGTTTCCTCATGGGTAATGTTGGAGAACTCTCTGATTTCTCCACTTCTTTTCCTCCTGAAAAATATAATTATGTACCTTAGATAGAAACAGAATCTTCCTCCTCCTCTTGGCTGAATTGGAGCAAGGAGATCCTGAAAAGTAGTTACCTGGGGAAATGAAGAGTCTTGCTGTGGAGACTGCAGTCCCAGCCTCATTTTCTGCAACGCACCTGAATTCCCCAGCATTTTCAGGAAATGCTTCTGTGATAATCAAGGTGCAGACTTCCTCTGGCAAGACAAGAGATTCAACTTGACCAGAGTATTTGGAGACCCCAAATTAACAAATAGTGTGGAGGAATGTCAGGAAAGTAGGTACTAGAAATACAAATCTCAGTATTTTTGAGATTTAAAAAAAAAATCCATCTGATTAGACTTGTTATTTTTGAGTGAGCTCCTGAAGATACATCTTAAAAATGCAACCTAAAACAATCCCAACAATGTGCCTATCAACTGTCTGACACATCTGCTTACTACTTACTATCACTTACACAGTAGTTAGTTCAAGGTCCTATAGACAAATTTTCTGAGCCGACCTAAAAATTGTCATTGCCAGGATAGTTTGTTAGTATAGTAATAGCCACATTGTGATGAGCATTACACCTACTTCTTGGACAGCCAACAACTTGGATGTTTGATGTCAGCATACCTCTTTACTGTCTCTCTGTAGAGCTCATGAGTCCCAGATTAGAGGATGAATACATGCTCTATGAGTGCAAAGACCTCCTCAGTGCCCAGAATGGAATGTGGTATCCTCTGAACTAAGTTGAGTGAATGAATAGATGAATAAATACACTGACAAATCCCAGTTATCTTGCTGCTTTTGTTGTGCCAGCTCAAGAGTTGTTATAGGATAGCCTCAAAACTACTCAAGAAGGCAAAGTGATAAAGGACACAAAGTCTTCTGATGGTAATTTCGACTTAATCATTTATTGTCAAGATGTTGAAAAATTGGGGACGCCTGGGTGCCTCAGTCGGTTAAACGTCTGCCTTCAGCTCAGATTGGGATCTCAGGGTCTTGGGATCGAGCCCTGTCAGGCTCCTCGCTCAGTGGGGAGCCTGCTTCTCCCTCTCCCTCTCTCCTACTTTCCCTGCTTGAACTCTCTCTCTCTCTCTCTCTCTCTCTGAAATCAATCAGTTTAAAAAAAAAAAAAGAGAGATGAAAAATTGTGCTTACCGGGAACGGATGATAAAGAAGCTTCTGAAAAATAAAACAAGGGAATAGAGAATTTAAAAGTTGATAGTTAATTTAATTTGGAGAAGGGACTATGTGTATATGATAAATATCTTGAATAAATAAAGCACATACAAGATTGACTGTAATCTGGAGTCACAGATTATAAACTGTGTGGAAACCCAGAAAAAATACATGATGGAATGAACACTTGGCAGGGTGCCAGAAAAACTGTATTTTTGTCTTTGTTTGCTCTGTGATTTTGTGAAAATTACTTCTCTGGGCTCTAGTTCTTCATCTCTAACGTGAAGAAATTATCTGTTCTCTGAATGGGAACCAATTACTGAACCCCTGGTCCTGTGGTGCTCTCTTTTTCCCAAGAAAATATTTTCTTTTAATCTAATTAAAATACAGGTGAATATTACATTATAAATGTATTACTGTAGAAAAATATACAAAAGATTAATAATTTGGGTGGTGTGGGCATGAGTGACTTAAAATTTCTTCTTTATGCTAATACTACATTGTGTAATAGAGGTTTTTCTTCCCTGGATGTGATGTGCAAAAGTTCAGTTGTGCTTTATCAGTATTTAAGTGAATACATTTTCTTCACTTGGGGTGAGAACTATTTTGGGCTTGAACCCTGGCTACAGCATTTATTAGCTTTGTAACCGTGGGTAAGGTTACAGTTTTCTTATAAATTGGAGATAACAATGCACACTTCAAAATTTTGACATGAAGATTGAATGAAAGGTTGCTTATAAAGTATAAACTTCATGTTTAGCATGAATTATGCCATCATACTTGTTATTCTCTAAATTTACATTAGGTAACATTAATAATAAAGTAGAAAGCTATACATCACTATTTGTTTTACTCTAAAAATGTTTATTCTCACATTTCTTGTTTATATGTTAAAAACTCATTAAGAAAATAGTTAATTTATGAAAATAAACCAGTCTTTTCACAGCTTTTAAAACTATTGTTTCATCAAAGAAACACTGCTGTTTTTTCTGATTGTATGAATCCTTTAGATTTGAAATCATAATTATTTAACAATAGAAATTTCTGAGCCTGTAACAAGTCAGCTATTAAACTTTAAAACATGAATTAGATTTCAGGGTTAATTGAAATTAAAAAGCAAATTGAAAAGCTTATCATAATACTTCTCAAAATCTGGAAGTCCTCAGAGTCTGCTATCTGCTCTTTCTCTCTGTACCAGTGAATTTGAACTGTGGTTGTTGCCTGGACTCGGCATTCAAATGCGACAAGCTGACCGCTGGTTGTAGAAATGTCTTGAAGATGCTGAAGAACAAACAGAATTCACAGAATGGAAGAAACTTTCACCATATAAAATGATTTGGAATGCCAGTTTCAGTAAGTATGCTTTTTGCCAAAATTATTGACAACCCTTTTGTACTTTAATCAAAACAAGGAGTTGCTGGGATTTTCTAGTGCTTTATAGTGTGCTTTACAGTCATGTATAAGTTATCTTTAACTTCATAGAGAAAGTTATTACTCATTTCCCCAAGGGCCATTTTTCAAAATACGAAACAGAGTAGTTGAAAACTCTCACCTTTGCTTTATTGAGTACACGTACAGTCGTAGATATAACCTTCATTATCAGTCAGATAGTGTGGGCAGTATTGTATTTGTTAAAGATCCTGAATCATGACTTAGAGGACTGGACCAGTATCTCAACTCTGCCACTAGCTGGTTGAAGCCAATCATAGGAACGAACTCAGAAACTCTTAACCTCTGTGGAACTCAGGTACTTTTATCTGCAAAATAGGGCTGGCAAGATACTCAGCCTTTTTTGAGGTTTTGAAGCTCACGTCAGGTAAATAATCTGAGGACTTTCTTTAAGGAGTGAAAAGTTACATTGTTACATAAAAGTCTATAAAAATAGGTGGTTTGGTCTCCCAGAGCACAGATGAATGGGTGGCATTTGTGGTAAATATGGCTGTTAAGTTCGGATCTCCCTTCTCTCCTGTTTGCAGCTACAGAGTCCTCTAGAATCTAGAATAACCTTACAGGTTATAACTTGGCTGAGGGGGAGTATTCTGAGGTCCTTCTACCAGATGAGACACAGTGACCACCAGCCCTGTTACCCAAGGAGGAAATAAACATTGCTTTGCTTATTGACTGCCTCAAAAAAGTGTCTTATGGCTAGTTGGGAGAATCAGATGAAACTTGTAGTCAGGTAGAGCAACGTCTGCATGGGGAGGACAGTCTGAGCATTGCCCTTCAGAGCTACAGATTGATGACAGCAAAAGCCTAAGTATAGGAAAGACCTTGAGTTGCTCTGTGACATTGAACAGTAATTTCACCCCTTCTGGGACTCAGTTTTCTGATACATAAAATAATAATTTCTGAGGTTCTTTTTAGTTTCTCCTTTTCCTTTTCACCCTTTTGATGATGCCCACAATTTATTGATAAAATCCTAACTGCACCATGCAGGATGGATACATTACCTTGGTGAACACAGGGGCCACAACATAGGTGGATCCGGACAGGCTACTGCAGGGACTCTGCATCTGGTTTAAGAAAAAGAGACCCTCTCATCCATACGGCCAAGGCCCTGAGACCTGGGAGGATCGTGCTAATGAGCCAACCAAATCAGTAGTTGGTAGTAGTTGCACCCAGTGAGTTTTAGCTGCTACCAGTGGGTAGTAGTTGCACCCAGTGAGTTTTAGCATGCTACCAGCCATACCCCAAGTGTCCTCTTTGAAAAGGATAATGCTTCTAATTTAAATGTCATTTTGCTTATCTGCTCCAGTGCCACCCTTTTTACCTCCCTGTCCTCCATCATTCCATTAGCTGAGATGGTGAAATATTAACACCTAGCAATTAATTTGAGAAATGAACTTTGGCAGTTATTTAGAGACTGTATATAAAAGGCATAAATAACTTGTAAATTTGACTGACTAGATATTTTCCCCCTAGATTTTTATACAGTTGCTTTTGTCTGTTAGGTTTCTGTAAAAGCATCTCCCCTCCCTGACTTTTTAATTAAAAGGGAATTCATTCCATGAATAGTTGCAATACTCTGTTAGACTAAACTCCTAGAAACCAACTGTCTCTTATGGTTTGGCACATAGACAAATGGTCAACCCACAGAACTACCATGGAGTTATTTCTGAGATCAATGAATTTCTTTTCTTATTCTATTTGAGGTCATACAGCTGGAGGCTCTGTTCATGTATACTTTTCAAGAAAGTTACATTGATTCCTTTTTCTCTGGGCCTCTGTCTCCATTACTGGGACCTCTCAGAAGGCTTTTAAAACTGAACATACCCTTTGGGAGTCAATACACAATGGTTGAACTAAGGTAGAGTAACTTGATCTGATGTTGGAGGTTTCATTAACCAGGGAACCGATGGTCAAAGAAACTCTAGTGGTTTTCTTCTTTATCCTATTGTGGAAACAAAACCAAACACAGTCCGGTGAAAGATTAGAGGCAGCTTTGATAGAAATGCCTCACTGTATTCATTTGGCATGAATCACATTTTTACTTATAGTCCTTATTTTTTTGATTTGCATAATAATTTCCATTTTTTTTCTTTTTGAACAGTTAGTGGATTATGGTTCTTAATAGTTTTGCTTTAAATTTTATATGTCTTAGTCTGATAATCAGTGAGCTGTTACTAAACACAAATTATGCAGAAGAAATAATACAATAAGGCAAATAATCACTTTAAAATTTGGGAAATTTTAGGGTTTTTTTGGTTATTTTTTTAAAGTAGAATTTCCTGTATATTCGTATGACAACAAATGCACATTCACATGCATGTTCTATACTTACTCTGACATTTCTGTAGCATATTCCAAGCACAATTAGAGAGAGAAACGTTTTCTTCCCACTTCCCTTCTAAGAAAGAGAAAAAAGAAATTCTGTGTGGATCTCCTTGTAATTTAATAAACTGTGGTTCCACTTGTATTGTATGCACAGTACAACTAGCAAATTAGTTAGTTACAGGCAGCAGATGAATCCAGAATGTCTGAATTCTTGACTAAACATGGGACTACTTTAATATTCCTAATTTAAAAAATCCAGATGTTTACCTTTACAGAGCTATAGTAGTTACACCCAGAACAGGTATTTATTTCCCCAAAGCAGCATTTTATAGGGCAGATATTGTTGTCTTGTGAATTTGTGTTTTGGTCTGACGTCTTCAGTATATTTATTTTTTTAATTTTATTTATTTCAGAGAGAGAGAGAGAGCACAAATGGTGGGGAGGGGCAGAGGGAGAGGGAGAAACAGACTCCTTGCTGAGTGGAGAGCCTGACATGGGGCTCAATCTCAGGACCCTGGGATCATGACCCAAGCTGAAGGCAGATACCTAACTGAGCCACCCAGGCGCCCCAGCATATTTGTTATAATAGGAAATCTGTTCACAGATTGCTGCAATGAAGGATATTGTCAATGTTCATATTATCTCTATATAAGTACTCAGTAGAGAAATCTATCTCAATTCTGAGTATCGAGAATAATCAGGGGCACTTGGGCGGCTCAGTCAGTTAAGCTTCCAACTCTTGGTTTCTGCTCAGGTCATGATCTCAGGGTTGTAAGATTGAGTCCCATGTTAGGCTCCCTGCTCAGTATGGAGTCTGCTTGAGGTTTTAACTCTCCTTCTCTCCCTTACCCAGGTGCCTCCACACACACACACACACACGATCTCTCTCAAATAAATAAATAAAATATTAAAAAAACCCGTATAATTACGTTTCTGTGCTACTAGCTTAGTTTTTCCTCGCAGATACTGGAAATCTTAGTATTGGTTATATTTCCTCTCTGTTAGCTATTTGAAAGTCTGGTGTTCATCTCATAGCCAGTAATTCAACAGAGTTTGGAGTCAGGATCTCCTAAATTTGTAACCTGATATTTTTTCCTCACTATACCTCTAATGATTTATTTATCTAAATTGATAGTTAGATCCCATGACCCCATAAAGAACTTCTATGTTATTTCCAGGTGAAAGAGATAGGTTGGAAGTTATATAGACCAGCCTGAATAACAAAACACTATAATTTTCAGAAAGCTGTTGGCTTATGTAAATAGAATATTTGAAATTGTACTTATTCCAGGAAAACCTAGTCTGTAATGTGACTTTATACTACAGTGCTTTAATGAAAAAATTATTTCCTGCTTAAAAAAATCTTGTACATACAATGTTTGATATCATCCATTTGTATTAGATTTATCTAATATCCTTTTAATCTTAATATATAGTGTCATAATTCTTGCTGGCTTTTTCAGTCTTTAAAAACTCCCTTAATTTGAGGTTTAATAACCATTTTGTGCTTAATTTGCTTTAGGCTAAAATTTCAGCCATGTAAAAGATGTGCTAATACTATTTCATGCTTCATTTCTAAAGGTGGACAGTGGCTACAGAATGTACATATTATTATGTAGAAAGCATCCCATAGCCATTCAGTAGTGAGGAATGCTCTGGGGATCAGATTGTCAGATTGTGAATCCATGGGTCATGAGACTGAGCCCCATGTCGGATTCCCTGCTCAGCAGTGAGTCTGCTTGAACATTCTCTTCTTTATCCCCCTCTGACTGTGGTCACCCGCACACACACACTCTCTCTCTCTCTCTCTCTCTCTCTCTCTCTCTCTCTCAAATAAATAAATAAATAAGTCCTTTTAAAAAAGCACAAATACATTACATTTACTATTGTCTGTATATAGTATTTTATAATTTGTCAGATTAAAAAAAAATCTGGGGCAACCCCAGTGGCTCAGCAGTTTAGTGCTGCCTGCAGCCCAGGGTTTGATCCTGGAGACCCGGGATCAAGTACCACGTCGGGCTCCTTGAATGGAGCCTGCTTCTCTCTCTGCCTGTGTCTCTGCCTCTCTCTGTGTGTCTCTCATGAATAAATAAATAAAATCTTAAAAAAAAAATCTGTGAACTGGAACTGCCTTTTCTTTTTTGAAAGGGTAATTATTCTTTTGTAGTTCAGAAGAAGATGAGTTCAGTTCTGTGAGTATACATGTGCTAGAGGAATCACAGAAATGCATAGATTACCTTTATGTCCAAAACTGATCATAGGATACCTATAAACTGTCGAAACAGGATAGAATCAAACTTGAAAGTGTTGGCTTTATTTATTTGACTTGAATCATTTTTGTAATGAATGAAAACTTCACAAACACTTCAGGTTTTGAACTGTAGATGACTTCCTGATGTCTCCTATGCCAGGTCCCCAGGAACAACACAAAGGAGTTACAGTTAGCTGACACAAACTGTATGAAAAGATAAGTTGTGCAAAAGATGCATAATAATAATGATAATATAGAAACTACCTAAGCAGGGTCATAAGACATTAATAACATTAATGTCATACACATTAAATAAGATTCAGGGACATCACAAGACAGCACATCATCACCCAATAGGCTGTTGGAAATAAGTGCTATCACTGACAGAGACTGAAGCTTGACTGGTGTAGGAAAACTTCTCGCCCACAGTGGGACCTTCAGTTGAACTTTGAAGAATGTTAAATTGGGAAACCAGAGATGTGTAGGTATGTGAGTTGAGAATGTGAGTTAATAGTGGTGGGGTAAAAAAAAAAATAGTGGTGGGGTGAATAGTGGTGGGGGATGGATAGAAAAAGGAAGTAAATGACATTTAGGGAACATTAAACTGTGTGCCAAACACTGTGCTGATCTCTGTCACATGTGGAGAAAGCATCCCATAGCCATTCAGTAGTGAGAGATGCTCTGGGTTCAGATTGTCCAGATTTACTCTTAAGGTATGTTAGGCTTCTCTTTAAGTGTCACGTTTCCAGTCTGTAAAATAGGCATAATAATAGTATTTATTTCTGGGGTTGTTTTGAGGATTAAGTGAGATAGCCCACAGAAGCACTTAATGCATGCCGTGTGCCATGTTATCAGGTGCTTATTAAAGGTTAGCTGCTATTATTATTATGATCGTGGTTCTATAGAAATCCAGATGAAGTTCTACCTTTTCTCACAGGTTTCTAATTTAGCTGTCTTTGATTTTCTTTTCTTATGAACTTAAAACCTCTTTCATATGCTTTTGTTTTCATTATTTATTATTGTATATTTTCATTTAGAAGCTCCTTAAGATTAAAGATCTTTTCAAATGTGTCCCATCCTCAAAGTATCTTGCCTAGGGTTGAAACACATAGTAGGTGTGGAGATGATTGATTTCATAGATTAACGCATAGGGAGATGCTATTAATCTCCCTATTAATTAGTCTTAGGAGATGTGTGCTGTATTGTGCTGTTTCCTTCAACTCCATCCTACAAATAAAAGCAGTTGAAATAGATTCCTCCTCTTCTGATGTAAGTCCTCCTACCACACCAGCCATCTTAGGTGGAGTTAACCAATCACCAATCATTGCAGACCAAGAAAAGACTTTGGAAATCTTGTCTAATGACATCTTCAAAGAATAAAACTAAGGGCCAGAGAGGTTAGATTATTTGCTAAACGTCATGTAGTCTCTTGGTACAAGAGTCGGGATGAGAATATAAATCTCCTGTCTTCTAGTGCAATCCATATACACTTCTAGCAAATGGATTCTGTATTAGCAGATAAATGTAAAACTGGATATTAGTCTGAGTAGTTGAGCCTGTAGTGATTTTTTTCTTCTGTTAGGTACAGTGTATTCATGGTTCTGAATTCAGTGGGTAATCAAACAGTTCTTTTACTTTGTGTATAAGCTGCTTGAGGTCAGAGACTTAGTCTGTTTTGTGTATATCCCTGGTTGCTAGTATAGTGGAGTTGGCTGCGACTTGAGCTGAGAATGTTTGTGTGGCTTCTAGAGATTCTAACCTTGGCGTGTTAGACCCTGAAGAGAGAAACCCTGTATACATCAGGGACGCCCTGGCTGTGGTAGGAAGATAAAAATGAAATGCTTTCCCTCATGGGAAGAGAAGGATCAAATGAAAGAGTGTGTATGAAACTTTTGGAACTTCTTGGAAGAAACATACCTTATAATTAAATATAAGGTCAATTGGTTCAAGAGGCTAGAGTTTCTTCTAAGCCCCTTGGCACATCTCAAAGGAGAGCTGGAAGATATAAACAGAATAGTTTTGGTGGCACATGAGATTGAGGTTTTTTTTTTTTTTGCCCACCTTGACATGTCCAATGTCCTAGGCTAATGAGAACAAAGAGAAGCTCCAGTCCTTATAAAGGAAATTTCAGTAATACTGGGCCTCCTAAATCCCAGATGCTTCCTGTTGTAAGTAGGAACAATCGAACTTCCTGGGCAAGGCACCAGATAGCCCATACTGTCATTTAATCCACGGAGTGAGGAGACCTGGCAGGACTTCTCTCCTGTCCCTGATCTTCCAGCCAATGAAAGGAGATGGTGATAACTAATGGAACCAAGAACTACCCAGCACTTACTTTGGGATATGCCACTGGTTAACATGAATTAGACAATCTGTGTCTGAAGATTATATAGAAAAGGATGAAAATAGGGGATCCCTGGATGGCTCAGTGGTTTAGCGCCTGCCTTTGGCCCAGGGCACGATCCTGGAGTCCCGGGTTCGAGTCCCGCGTTGGGCTCCCTGCATGGAGCCTGCTTCTCCCTCTGCCTGTGTCTCTGCCTCTCTCTCTCTCTCTCTGTCTATCATGAATAAATAAAAAAGAAAAGAAAAGAAAAGGATGAAAATATAGAGAGGCCAGGTAGTTTGGGAGAGAGAGAGAGAGCACTAATTCAGGACTTGAGAAAAATCTACATAATGATTCTAGATTAGTCGTTAACTCGTTATATGACCTTGGGGAAGACTCTTTGGGGTCCTAGTTATTGCATATTTAATAAGAAGTGAGAAGTGAAATGGTCCCTAAGGTTTCTTCTAAGTCTGTTAGCTCTTTTTAAATATTTTTAAAT